ACAACTAGTGTAATCAATTTATAGACCTTTTAGAGCACTTCTATTTTGCTTCTTTGAAATCTTCTATTTGTTCAAGCTTCATAAACTCCTTCAGTAGAGGTAGTGTAGAAATATCAGTCCAAAAATAAAATTCCTGGGTGTTTGTGTGAAGTTGATTATAAGAGGTGTTTCTCAACTCCTTTAGTCCATATTCCACCTAAACTCATTCTTAATCTAAGCCTTAGGCATTATCGTATTTATTGAATTCACTCTGATGTTCTTATTTTTTTCTCTGTTTTTTCATACTTCGAACATACGGGAGTATATTAAATATAAATTAACATTATGAGTATTCAGCTTCAAGATTTCTTGAGCTCGTTAAGAAAAACTTGTTATAGTCTAAGTGTCATTGATAATCAAAAAGTTTCATCTTTAGATTTTAATGCCCAAGCAACTGAACTAAAATAAATTCATCTACTCTACCATTCCATTTGTGAATATTAGAATCATCACTCAACATCCTCAATGGAAGTGTGGTCTAATCAATTTTACAACTTCATATGAAAGTTGATGCATTTAGTAAGCTCATATACATACCTCAATGTATTATCCTTTTATTCTTTGTCGTCTGAGGAGAAGGTTGCCTTCAACCTTACAAGGAAAATAGTGTGTCATTTGGGCGTAACCTCTTAAGCATGATCAAGGTATTGTTTTACAAGGATTCAATCTTGTCAATTGTCATATGGTTATAACGATGATTTTCAAATGACTATAACATCAATTATAAAATATTTTATTATGTTTGAAATTCACTAAACTTTAAGAAACGTGATTCATTGCTCATAGTCTGAAAAATACAGTGTTTATTCAACTAAACAAACACTTGAAAAACAAAGAAATGATAAAAACAAATTCCAACAAAATAAGATGTTTTCATGCAATTTATTATGCCCCATGGGGGTAGACATGGACCTCAATTTTCTTCTTGGAAAACCTCGTTACTCATTGGGTTCTGGATATTTCCTTTTAGTTCTCCTCTTCATCTATAATCATTCGAGACATTTTGAGTGTCACCTCTACCAATTCTAGTTTATTTTTGATACTCTTGACATATTCTTTCTCATTCCTCCCTTGTTTCACATAGCATACTTTTGGTTCTACTAGGCTATTTTCCCTTGTACAAGGATATGAATGCAAATGCAATAAAGGTATTAATTCCAAAGTAATTATCATAGAACTTCAAAATAACATACAATGCCCCAATACACCTAGACAAACGAAAACTACAAATTGTTTAACTTCCTAACTTCTTCTATCAAATAGGCAAGACAACATTATTATTTCGCCTCTGAATTGATGTGGGACTTTGATGGTTCAGTTTCTTGGATCTTTATTTCCAGTAATTCTTCTCGAGTAGTCATATTATTCTCGTTGTAGTGTCTTTGAAAAACTTGTTAGACCATACCATTTGAGCTTCATTTCTTCAATTTGAATCTACCTATGATCGTATTCTGACTTGATGTACTTTCCCTGATTGCCTTTTGAAGTGCCTTTATAGACCAGTGTCGTCTATTTGTAATTCTATCTACCTCTTCGAGTGATATTATCATATTGAAAGCCTTCTAATTTAGATAATTAAATATGAAATTAACGACATGTTTATACATAAATAAATCAAGGAAAATAGATAAAACAAAAGAATAATAATCAAACAGAAGAAATGTGTTAGGAAAAATAATCAAATTACCTCATAAATGAGGCAACAAATAAACAATTTGGGTAAAAAACACAGAGAAAATTAAAACCCTAATCGTATGCATTCTAATTCTTTTAGGGTTTTCAAATTGCTCAAGTGGAGTGAGTTTACTAAATTCTTATATGGTTTTAAAAAAAAGGTTCCCAAACCATCCCTACACCTTGTTAAGGTATATAGAGACTTCAATCTTAGCCCACTATAGACTCGCAGATCGAATTCAGTCTAGGGGATCACATCATTAAATACTTGTCAAGGAAAATAGTATTCCGATAGACATAAATAATGCTTTCCATAAGTACTTTGCTAGGCCTACACAAAGAAAAACAGTATTCTTCGGAGGAGTGGTGTTTCCCCTTACTTAGGTGAATCAAGACAAAGCTTGAGTATAGAGATATGATATGAAACAATCTTATTTATAATCGCACAAGTGAAAGTATTAACTAGAGAAAAAATCACTTTTTTGAATTTTTTTAAAACATAATAAATAGTAAATTAAATAAATTCAAACTTGAGATTTTCAATTTTCAAATATAGGGTAATCGAATTGTGGCTTGACTCTCTATTTTGCTTTTAAAAGCAAAATTCCATAGCAGAGTCACCAAGCTATCGCAACTAGTCTTTCGAGGAAAAATTGACTAGTTACGAGATAGGGATTCTTAAAAAAGATTTTTAATGAAAAGGTGAGAGTCATCACCAATCATTTTTAAGGTGCGATTGGAACACTTAAAAAAGTAATTTTAATAAACTATTTTTAATTTATCAAAAATACCAAATTTTGGTATGCAAAAATTAGAAATCAAGTTCGGAAGTCAGTTATGCGTGGGGAAGAATCAACACCCCACAGTTCCAAAAATTGGTACCTAGTTGATTATCCTATATTTTAAAATTGGAAATTTTGAGTTTGAAGTTTTATTTCATTTAAAATCCACCATGTATGCAAATTCTGAAAAGGTTGTTGATTTATCAAGACCAATAACGACACCCCTGGGCACAAGCGAAAGCTTCGTTATCGATCCCAATAAACAAACATCACCTCGATTATTTAGAAATTATGATGCAGAGTTTTGAAAAGGATGTTGGTTTACTTCGGGAATCAACAATGGTCATCCCTGGGCATGATACGGAAGATACACAATTAACCCCTTAATAAATGAACATTGTCTCGTTTTGAAATTAAGTAATGCAATCAATCAATCAACTCTTAAGCCTAATTATACTAAGCGGGTTAATTAAGTATTTCCTCTAAATTAAAGTGTTAAATTATGAGATTTAAAGGACCTAGAGAACTAAACCTAAAAATGTAGGCTCTAATATTAGTCCTAAACATATTTTAGCAAATTACATAATCGAATAGTCAAAATTGAACCTCGGGCATTAAGGCGATGACCAAATCGAATATTCCCTAAATTAAAGGTCTAAAAGTAAAATTAATCTAAAATACATGCTCTAATTATTAATCCTAATTGATTTTAATCAATTATTGAATCGAATAATTAAAACGGAACCTTGGACATTAAGGTGAGTACCAAATCGAATATTCACCTAAATTAAAGGACTAAAAGTAAAATTAACCTAGAGTGGAGGCTCTAATTATTAATCCTAATTGATTTTAATCAATTTTTGAATCAAATAATCAAAATGGAAACTGGAGTATTAAGGCGAGGACCAAATCGAATATTCAACTGTATTAAGAGTTTAGCGACCTAATCTTAAAGAAACCTCAATTTAATGGCTAAACTTGAAGTCTAAGTATTCTAACTAAGGACTAAATTAAAAGATATCTAAACCTAATGTAATTAAAATGCAAGGAATAAAATCCTTGGCAACCACAGAAAGAGATCGAAGAGACCCTTGATGGTGGAGGCCAAATCCTTAGGGTGCGTTTGGTTCACGGAATGTAAGATTACCAGTGGGAATAAAAGATTACCAGGGAATAGGATTACTGTGAATGTTACATTACTGTGTTTGGTTGGTTTAGCATGAATGTAAGATTACAATATTTGGTTGAAGGAATAAAAGATTACTGGAATGTATATTTTTCCAAATTTTCCTTGTTCTATATTTGTTTTTTTAACGAGTGAAATTCTAAATATTTAAATAAAAATTATTTATATAAAAATTTAATTTTTTGATAATATATTACTTGAGTATTTAAATATATCATGTATTATTTTAATTTTAATTAATATTAAATTTTACATAATTTATGTAAAAATATATTAAAATTTTACATCAACATTTAACTAAATGTTTACATTGTGGAAATTCTTCAAAGATATTCATAATAATAAAAAGATATAAATTAATTTTGTTATCTAAGATATAAAATTTATTATATCTTCTATATACAATAATTTATTTATTTATCTTTTATATTTATACTTAATTTTGCATATTTTATCATTATTATTTATCTCATTAATTTATATTACAAAAACATAATTCAAATAAGTAATAAAATATAACACTAAAAATCATATTGTCTATAATTCAAATATTTCTTTTTTATTTTATCATCTTTTCTCTATTTCTTCTACTGTTATCACTCAAGATAATAGATCACTCAAGATAACAGGAAAGTTCATTACATTAAACCCTTGGCATTCACCGTTTCGGACAAATATTTTTAATAAAGTATGCTCTTATATTTGTTTATATTTATGAATGATTTACAACCACTACATTAATCGATTCTCGATTGAATTGGTTCGATTAAAGACCATATTAACAAGGAACCTAAAAAGAAATTCAAAAGCCATAAAATAACTTGTTCATCCGTCTTTTTTATTTCAATTTTTGGTTTTTAAGTACAGTTCTTCGGATTTTCAATTTTATAACCGACTCTCAATTGAATTGGTTCGATTGATCGAATTAAAGACCCTATTAACAAAGAACCTAAAAATAACTTGCTCATCCGGTTTTTCCTATTTCAATGTTTGGTTTTGGTTTTGAAGTTGGTCACAACAATTCTTCAAATTTCCAATTTTAGACGGATGAGCCCCCAGACCAGCCGATTCTCGATTGAACTGGTTTAATCGGGCGAATTACGACATTAAAATTTTAGCAACCCACACGATAATTACGTTACATTCAAAATTGGTTGAGAGCATCATCCAAATAGCATTGAGTTCGACACATACATGTATCCAACAGTAACATGTACCTGAGAAGCTTTTGCAAATTTAAAAATGCGAATGGCACCATAACCATTGATGGTTTTGCTGCCCCTTATGGTATCATTCCTTGATTTATTGAAATGCAATCTAGAAACAGAAGGGGTTACTAGAAATAGAAATAGAAGGGGTTTCCTTGGTTCCACTTATCAGGGGAAACCAGAAACAGAAGGGGTTACAGTCACTGAACTCTACACTGAATGTTCGTATCGACGATACAAGAACACGATGCGTAGCAATAGAAACAACCAAAACATAGTTATTTATAAATACCACGAGTGAACCAGATAGAGTGAACCAGTGGAAAAGAAGTCCCAAAAAGTAAAATGTCGCCAAATAGCAAACAAGTGAAACAACAAACAGAGCAATGTACCTATACATATAAAACAAGCAGGTCGTAAATCAGAAGAATACAATGAAGAAATATCATAAAAAATCAAAAAGAAAAACTAACCAGAACTGCTCATCGTATCCAACCCATTTGTCATTCCATCCATGAACGAAGTCAAGTAGAAGAACTTGAACAAAAGAAACAATCCTGAGCTGAACTTTGAAATCATCTCTGCAAATACAACATTTAAGTTTCAGATGAAGTAAAATCAGAAGTGACTTTAGATTATTTATCATTTCCTTTAACTATTTTTGAATCCTCTCTCAGAAATCGTCACCTATAGGCTGTAACATGTAAAGACTTTCAAAATAATGATTTGTTTTTGTGAAAATGAAAATAATGACATTCTTAATTTAGTAGATTGATACAAAAGTAGTGTAACTTACCATAAAAGCTGATAATCTCATTCGGAACAAAAAACATCAAAATAACTAAAATGAACCAGCAGATAATTTTCATCATCCATCCACGATGGTGCAATCCATCACGAGGATCTTTCTGATTTTTCACACCAATCATTAAAAGTGAAAGGATGGTGAAAAACAGAAAATTTCCCAAGCTGACCCTGAGCACCGCATCTGTTTCAAACCATTCCCTATTGGATGTTTTGTGAAACTGATTGATCCCTGTATAAAAAACAATATTAACTAAACTAAATTAGAAAAATAGGTATATGCAAGACACAGACAGCACGTTCACTTTTCTTCCTCGAGAAACATGCAAAACATTACACATGAAATGGGCCCTATGTCGATAATTATTGAAAAACTAATACGGAACATCATGGTCCATGACAAACTAATACCAGCTATCCAGCAATCAAAGAAAAATGTATAGAAGAACGATCTCCCATTCATCCATGAAACCATTTTGATTCAATATACTACACTCAAAGTAATAAAAATGGTAATGCAGTAGATGTTCAGATTCACATGGAAATCGAATCATTCTTCAAATTTGCTAAAAGACCTGAAATATTAAGAGAGCATGTTTGCATTTAGCCCCGTGAAAGACTAAGCTAATGAAAAAAAGATAAAAGAATTTAACTTCTTCGCCCACTTTTGCTTGGATATTATTTACTATTTTGCAGCAACATTCTCGCTCAGTGCAACAGGTAACCAAGATATTATTGGAATCTTAAAATCAACAAAGCATGCTCCGAATAATTAATAATACAAAGAAATCAAACAAAATTAGCAATAACCAGAATAAAATAAAACAAGAAAAATTGAACGAAGCTTACAAGGCATGTTCTCCATGAGAGGAGCGTCAACCTCACGGAGTATCCATGAAACAATCAAAGAAATGGAAAATAGTCCACAATAGGCGATCCTTGCAGACTTCCGGCTAATCCCCGAAACCACCGTGTGGTACGCATCGCAGGCGCACGCTGCACAACACGATGCAAGGCATAAAGCAGCCCATCTTCTTCAACCACAACAAATAGATCAAGCCGCCGAACCCCCACACTCTAATGAACAATAAATAACATAACAAAATTAAAATTAAATAAACAATTGAATTATGTACGGACCCAAGCTGTTGATGATTGAACCGGAAGAAATTAAAAGTAAGTAATTGCTTCTTACCTGAGAAATTAGAGGGGAGAAAGGTAGGAGAAAACGATGATTGATTGGGCGCACGAATAATGTAGGGGGAAAAACAATCGAAATACAAACCCAACCAAAAGAGGAATCAAAATTGCTTTCTCGGTCAGACTCCAAAGACTACGTCAAAGCCGTTTGTCTTCATGTAATGTTTTGACTTTTTGTGACTTTTTCGATTATGGCATGCCAATACAGGACTGTAATTCAAACAACACACGTTCGGGAGAAGAAGATACATCAGAGGCAAATAGAAAAAATATTTATTTTTGGAAAAAAAATATTACCTTTACTTGAGAAAGAATACCTAACTAAACATATCTTATCAGAAAAAAAAAATATTCTACAGAATCTTAAAATACTTATCCAAACGCACGGTAACTAACGAAACCCTCTCTCTTCTCTTTTTTGGGAATAAGAAGAAAAGGGGCCTTCATAAAGGTTACGATTTTGGTGTATTCCTTGCTTGCTTGATAGTCAGATTTCTTGGTTTGAAATAAAAAAAAAACTTGAAAAATCCATTGTGTTTTCTGTGTTTCAAAATGGGGAAGAAGAAACTGAGATTTAAAGAAAATTGTCAGACTTTTTTTTCTTCTGATTTTTTATTTCTGAAAATGAGGAAAAGATTACATTGTTTTTCTGTTCGAATGGAGGGAGAGCTATGGAGAAATGCTTTGTTTTCATTTCTAGAGAATGGGGAGCCGCCTCTATTACAAAACGATTGGGGCTTATATATTACCACCGTTACATAACAAGAAAATCAGAAAATCTTTTCACATCTCATTCCTTTTTCTTCGTGCATGTACTGATGAGGAACGTGTTGGGACCTCTGCTTCTGTTGTGGCCTGCTGGAATTCACATGAGGAATGTTTGCTGGGTGCTTGGGATCACAGATGATTATTGGGTAGAGAAAGGGACCTGCTGGCAGGTTGCATGCGTGAAAGCGACTAGAAAACCATGAGTGGTTGCACGAAGGACTGCTTGCTAGATCGGGACCACTATTGGCGGCTGAACATCTATTAGGGTTACTAGAAAACCCTGAATGTTCATGTAGTGATCTGAGCCATTGGATCGAAATGTGAGATCAAATGGCCAACATTGACCCTTCACTTTCGTTCTTGAGGGACATAACTCCATACTAGGGTTAGGGTTTTTTACTGATTCAATTGTGGGCTGAATTGTTTTAATGAATTGACTTGGGCATTGATCTAATTTGTTTATAATGGGTCAAATGTAATAATTTAGTCTAAGTGGCCTGCTGGTTTTGTAAATGGGTTGTTTTTTTGGTTACATTGGTTTATAATGTAACAATGGACTTTGGACAATTGAATATTTTATTTTGGATTTAATATTATGGTATTTTGGTGTTAACAAAAAGGTTAAAATATTTGGACTTTAAATTACAAATCAACACATGGTCACCTAACCTAAATAACCCAGTTAAACAAAGGTATGCCACCAATGCTATCAATGCAACCTAGATTGATGTATGAACATCCTACAATTTATCTTCAATCATCTTCGACTCAATTTGAGTTGTCTGGGAAAAATAAGGGTATGACAAATATATTTGAATTAAAATTTTGGGTAAACTACATGTTTGGTAATTAAATTTTATTCTCTCTCCTATTTCATTTATCGTACTTTCAGTTTTTTTTTAATTTACTCTCTGAACTTTGTAGATTGCTTTTTTGGTCATTCAACCATTAAATAATTAACAACATTATGATATGATCGTATTTTAATCAAAACGACGGTGTTTTAGTCTAAAATTTAAAACTTTTCAGGAATTTAAAACAACATCGTTTTGATGTAAGTTGCCATGTCATAACATCGTTTAAATATTTAACGATGGAGTGACGAAAAAGATTCAATCTATAAAGTTCATTGAGTAAATTGAAAAAATTGAAAGTACAACGAGTGAAATAGGAGAGGATGTAAAATTCAGTTACCAAACGTGAAATTTACCCTAAAATTTGCCCAGACAAAATTGTTGATGACCAACAAGAGCCAACTGAACCAAAAGAACAAGTAATTGAGGAAGCACAACTGCCAAATGCCAATCAAAGTTCTGAACCCTATGGACCATTGATGGTCATTGAAAGAAGACAAAGGAAAAACAATAAGAAAATTCCTGTGGACAAAGGACGAAACATGGAGACCAATGGCTCAAGATTCAACCCCCTATATGAGACAACCGATGATGTTACTACTGCTGCCTTTGAAAAGAATAACCTAGCTACAAACACCAACCAGGTTCCTCATGCTCCTACTCCAGCTTCTCATGCAAAGTCGAGCAAGGGAAATTCCAACGATCAAAATGCTGCTAAAAGCAAGGTGCTCACTCCTGTCCGTAAACCTCTGACAATCCCCAATGTCACTGCTAAATCCTCCAAAGGGTACCAAGGTCAGTCAAGCCATCATCCTCACCAAAACACTGTTGAATCACGCGTTTCCATACTAGACAGATCGAAACATTATGCTATAGTACTATCAGAAAATTCTAATCCGAATATTGTTGACGGTGTGTACTTACAAGCTAATCATGGGGTCGCCCAGCAAAAGCTATTGCCACGTGAGCCACCTGATACGAACCAACACCAAGTGAGAGAAACACCCTTTCCATCAACAGATGTCGAACCTTCTAATCTTGCTCAGCACACGGGTACTATGCAAAATATTTGCACCGATGGCCAAGTGGTTCCTATGCTTCAATGATCATGTCCTTTCTACTCTTATCTTTAATTATGGTTGTTAAAATAATAAGTTGGAATGTCTAGGGATGTGGTCACCCTCGTTTTCTCACGGTCTTTCGTCAATATTTGTGTGATTTTAAACCGGATTTAGTAGCAATCTTTGAACCCCGAATAAGTGGAGACAGAGCTGATGTTTTTATCGCTGCCACTGGGTTCACTCACTCTCACCGTATTGAGGCAGCATGTTTTTCAAGTGGTATATGGTTATGCTGGTATGAAAAAAATCAAGTGGATATACTTCTCAATCACTTCCAGTTCATCCACTGTAGTATCTCTACCTCCTAGGGGATTTTCTCTACTTTGGCGTCTATTATTTATGTCAGCCCGAATAAAACTAAGTAGAATTGACTTTGGCCTCACCTTCGGTCCCTAGCAGGAAATATTACCACCCCTTGGGTCATAATGGGAGATTTCAATGCCACGCTTGTTGTTTCTAACAGGAAAATTGTGTGATTTGTAACCGGCCTTGCAAAAATTTCCAAGACTTTGTTTATGATTTTGGCATTCGCGACATGGGTTTCCAAGATCCTAAATTTACATGGAATAGGGGTTTCTCTTATGCTCGTCTTGACAGAGCCTTATGTAATAGCAAATGGGATGAATCTTATCCTGAGACAACCATCCACCATCTTCATCGCATGCGTTCTAATCACAGACCACTTCTCCTTTGTGTCGGTAGCTCTACAACCAATTTTCACCCAACTCAATTCAGATACTTCTCTGGCTGGTTGCAACATAATGATTTCAACCGAATGGTGGAGGATAACTGGGTAAACTCTGAATCTCTTTCGGACACTATCTCCCATTTTACTGGTGCAGCTGATACTTTGAATAAAACAATGTTTGGTTATATCGGCACAAAAAAGAAGATTGTTATGGTGAGACTTCGAGGAGTGCACAAAAGTATTAATAGACACCACTTGAATTTCCTCATTAATCTCGAAGCCAGCTCCTCATCGAGTTAGCTCCTGGACCAAGAGGAAACTCTATGGAAACAACGCTCAAGAATCAATTGGGTTACACAAGGTGATCGGAATACTTTGCAGAGAAGGCATAAGAATCGAATCCTGGCCCTAAAACTTCCTTCAAGTGATTGGTGCTATGACACAATTAAACTTAAAGAAGAAGCGGTTAATTTTTTCAGGAATATTTATGCTTGTGGTGAGAAAGTGGTAGAGAATTTTCCTATTTCAGGTTACTTCTCCTCAATTCCGACTCATTTAAGGATTCCATGTCTACTGTCCCAGATGATACAGAAACCTTTGAAGCTCTGAAAGATATGACCCCTCTAAAAGCACCTGGCCATTATGGCCTCCATGTAGAATTTTTCCAAAAACTGTGGCACGTGGTGGCTCACTCTGTTTGCAGTATGGTTAAAAAGGTTTTTGCAGGAGGTGATATTGAAACTGAACTAAATAAATCTATGCTTGTTTAGTCCCTAAAATCGAAGCCCCCAAAACCTTTGCTGATTTTCGTCCCATCAGCCTGTGTATTGTCATGTATAAACTCATCACCAAGATTATTGTTCGTCACATAAAGCAAGTGATGCCTATTTTAATCATGTTGAATCAAACCATTTTTACCGCTGGCCGCTCTATTACAGAAAACGTTATTATAAATCAGGAGGTAATTCACTCCATATGTTATCTCAAGACAAAATAGGGTTAGATGGCAATCAAGGTAGATCTTGAAAAAGCTTTTGACTACCTTCGATGGGATTTTATTCAAGATTCGCTCATTGAAGCTGGTTTCCCATCTAACACCATCCGAGTCATAATACATTGTATCACTTCAACCTCTATGCAAATCCAATGGAATGGTGAGAATACTTCTGAATTCAAACCGGAACAGGGTATCTGACAAGGTGACCCCCTTTCTCCATATCTCTTTATTTTAGCAATGGATCATCTTGGTTATAGTATTCGTAAGTGTGTTGAAGCAAGAGATTGAAAAGGCTTTTCCTTTTCTCGGCATGGCCTCCCTATCTCACATTTACTTTTTGCCGACGACCTTATGTTATATGAAAAAGCTGATCTAACTCATGTTAAAATCATTGATAGAACCCTCACTCAATTTGGGTACTTTTCGGGACACAAAGTCAGTAAAAAGAATACCCATATATACTTTTCGCCAAACACTACCATAGAAACAAAATATGTCATTCTATCATGCCTTAGCTTCCAAGAAGTTGACTCTATGGGGAAATATCTTGGAGTTTCGGTCTTTAATAGCCGTATGAAAGTTGCTGATTTTGATTTCATTTTTGACAAGTTCTGGGGTAGGTTAGGCCGCTCAATCTCTTTCGCTGGCAGGAAGTATTACCCTGGCTAAATCTGTCCTTTCAGTCATACCAACTTATTATATGCAAGTCATGACATTTCCTAAACGGTTTTGTGATGAGATAGAAACTACTGCTAGGCATTTTATTTGGGGCTCTGA